ACTATTCTCACTCTATTATTCCTCGACAAATGTCGGCTTACCCTCAAACGTACAACCGCTACGTTTAATAATCTCACCCGCCGACCATATACCGCAACGTATACACACATCGAACGGTTTCTCTTGCACATACTGGGCCAAGAAGCCACCAACAAAGGCATCACCCGCCCCTTTGGTGTCGACCATTTGTTCGCGCGACAACTGCGGCACTTCGTATTCGTGAATTTTGCCATCCTTAAAGAGCAGCACCGGCAAATGGCCCTGAGTTATAATCACAATACGTTCGCGCTGGCTATTCTCCTTGGGCAGGGCGAACAATTTGCGACCGATCACCTCGAGGTCTTTCGTCTCCTCCCAACCCTGTTCGTTGGCGAAAGTTTCAACTTCCTGTTCGTTGCCAAACAGTATATCGACATAGGGCATGGCGGCCATCATGGCATCTTTGAAAGCTTTTCTTTAGGAAAAGTCTCCAATTGTAACGTTTTCTATCAAAAAAGTCTCCACTTGCAATATTTTCTTTAGCAAAAGACTCCAATTATAAAAATTTCTTTGGAAAAAGCCTCCAATTGTAACGTTTTCTATCAGAAAATTCTCCAATTGCAATGTTTTCTTTAGGAAAGGTCTCCAATTGCCAACTTTTCTTTAGGAAAAGTCTTCAATTGTTAAGTTTCATATAAGAAAAGTCTCCAATTGTAATGTTTTCTAACCAATTGTAAAAGTTTCTTTCAGAAAAGTCTCCAATTGCAATTTTTTCTTTATAAAAAGTCTCCAATTGTAAATTTTCTTTAAGAAAGTCTCCAATTGTTAAGTTTTCTATCAGAAAAGTCTCCAATTGCCAACTTTTCTTTAGGAAAAGTCTCCAATTGTAAATTTTTTTTGGAAAAAGTCTCCAATAAGAAAGTTTCGTAAAAGAAAAGTCTACAATTGTAAAGTTTTCTAGCCGAAAAGTTTCCAAATGTAAAAATTTTCTAAAATAAAAGTTTCCAATTGTAATTTTGTTTTACATGAGAAGTCTCCAATTGTAAATGTGTCTATGAGAAAAGTCTCCAAGTGCAAATTTTTCGTTATAAAAAAGCCTTCAATTGAAATGTTTCGTATAAAAAACACTCCAATTGTAAATTTTCTACAATTGGAGACTTTTCAAAGTCTCCAATTGCAATATTTTCTTTAGCAAAAGTCTCCAATTGTAAACATTTCTTTGGAAAAATTCTCCAATTGCAAAGTTTCTTATCATAAAAGTCTCCAAATGAAAATTTTTCGAAAATAAAAGTTTCAAATTGTAATTTTTGTATATGAAAAGTCTCCATATGTAAATGTTTCGTGTAGGAAAAGTCTCCAATTGCAATATTTTCTTTAGGAAAAAATACCAAAAATTATCATATAACCTTAACCTCAAAATTTTAGATTTTTAAGGATTTTGGACACATTTTCTAACCGATTTGGGTGTAATTTAACAGTTTTGATTCTCATTGGGTAGAAAATCTTCGAACCAAAAATTATCAATATCGATCCACTTTTGGGTATGGCCCCCATATATTCGTAACCTCAAAATTTTGGATTTTTAAGGATTTTGGACACTTCTTTCAACCAATTTGCCTGTAATTTTATATTCTCATTGGGTAGAACATCTCCCTACCAAAAATTATCAATATCGATTCTCAACCACCTTTTTCGAAAACTCGAATCCGCATCTCGTATTTTTTGCATCTCCCTATTCCAAGGTATATTTAATAAGGTAGCCGCATCGGTCCTGCTGTTGGTGCTAATATTTTCGAATCCTCAAAATGAAATTGAAAAACACGAATGAAAATCTATGAAATTTATATTTCTACCGCTTCCACATCTTTCCTATAATTGAGCCATTGCCACTTATAGTACGTTTACATTGCACCGGATTTAGTTAACCCAGTGGTTTTCAATCAATACCATTGCCTATTTGTCAAATAAATTAATGGAAATTGCGAGTTATTCCATGAAGAAAGATTTGCTTTCTCAAATTTGCCCTTTTTTATTATTTTCAAGTTTAGTGTCTGTCCAAGCCGTAGTTGTCCCATATCCAATAGATTACTGCCGATTGCATTTGGCGGGGAAGTCCCAAAAATTGTATCAACAAGAAACCAAAGGCGGATATTTATTTTGTCAATCGGTTCACAGAGTCCATTGCCGTTTGATTTTTGCCTTTGACGGCAACAGCTGATCTTACTTGTTGCACACACAGACGGCGTTAATGCAGAATTCAAAAGTAACCGCTAACGATCACAACAACAACAAAAACCGTTGCAGTTTAAAATTAATCCAAACAAGATTGTAGCGACAACAGAAAACGAAACAGAGCCTTACTTTACATTACGAATCATGGTCATGGGAGGTTTTATTTTTTCTCTCTTTCATTGGTAAATTGACAGTAGGGTTAGAAAAGGTACCTTAAATTTTACTTCAAATGATAATAAATCATAATCATTCGATGTTCGCGCACACACAAACTGTCGGCGTCAAAATATAATTTCAATGCGGTCCTTTGAATTTTGCCTTTGGCGGCAACAGCTGATCTTATTTGATGTTCGCGCACACGCAAACCGCCCGCGTTTTTTAGTAACATCTTTAGAAAACATTTATATATAGATATACATCCTTGATATATACATAGATATATCCTAGATATATAGAAAAAAACTGGTTCGCCTCAACCTGTTTTTACACATTTTTTTCCATTAAAGTAGACACAGCTTCCACCAAAATAAAGCTTGGAGGTCAATATCATGTTTGCAACGACAGACCAATTAACCCAAAACTATTCACTTTTTTCATATACTTAAGTACTTCCCGAGTTATAAAGGGGTGAACCTCCGCTTCAGCTATGTTAAAAAATTGGCAATATTGCCCATATACTTATTCGTTTCGATACTATTTTATTAATTTTAAAAATGTTGCTATACACGTTTTTTTTTCTTTCAGTAGTTCTATTTAATATTTATGTATAAAATAAGTGTCTATAGATGTGTCTAAAGATGTTGTTTTGTCATTTAAAAAACAAACGCGGGCGGTTTGTGTGCGTGCGAACAACGAATAAGATCAGCTGTTGCCGTCAAAGGCAAAATTCAAACGGCCGACTGCTGACGCAATGAAATTCTATTTTGACGCCGACGGTTTGTTTTTGCGTGAACAACGAATAAGATCAGCTGTTGCCGTCAAAAGCTAAAATCAAATGGAAATTCCTGGCCAGTAATTATATTAATAATATTATTGCTGATTGCAAGAATCCGACGAATAAATATATTCAAAAATATAATGATCTGTATCAAATCCGCCCTGGATTGTTCCAACTGTACCATGGGAAAGTAGCAAGAAATAATCTCATCAGATTACACATCGACCTATTCAATAATCTCATCAGATTACACAACGACCTATTCAATAATCTCATCAGATTACACATCGACCTATTCAATATAACTATCCACTCCAAGTCATCTCTCTACTCCCAAACATAACATTTCTGGACGTTCTTTATGAATCGATCGGCAACATCGGACATTGTTAATATGTACATTAACACCACGCATACTAAATTTTTCGATTTCAAAACCATATTCACTGACGATTCAAAAAACGGCAGACAAAACCAGCTGTGCCTTATGGATACCTTCGTTGGACATCGAAACTTCATTCACGTTAGATAAAAGCTGTTCTATTTTCTTCGCGGAAGCGTATGCTGTTGTTGAAGCTTTAATGTAAAACCTGTGATCCTGGGAAATATGTACTCATCACTGACATCAAATCAGTCCTTCAGGCCATTGGATCCCAAAACTCCAGAAATACCCATCCCTTTATTTACAGAATAAAAGATGAGGTTTACCAAATGTCTAGGGAGGTCTACACTATACACTTTCTATGGGTGCCTAGTCATAGCGGCATCGCTGGAAACGAGTATGTGTTCTTCATTGCCACTAACCATAATCCAATCGATTCTTACCCAAAATAATGTCCATATGACTTGAGACAAAACGACAAATCTTCGGCAGACACATCTTGGCAAGAAAAAAGGAAGTATATTTGGGAGACGATTTTACTTATTGTCCCTCCAAAGTCAACTGTATTCCTTGGTTCCGAAGTGTTAATATGCCCCGAAAGTGTCGCAACAACAATCAGACTACGATTTGGCCACAATCAGGTGAAACATCATCACCACAGAATTAACATAACCAGCTAAGACAGATGTGATTGTGGAGACATCCAAACTATGGACCACATCACCTTTAATTGCCCTGACATTGACCTACTAAATACCAGACGTCCTTTAATGCAAAATCTACTCGAAATTTATCCACCTTCAATCGATGTAATACTAAAATCTAAAACACATAAAATCCCATGAAATATATGTATACCCGTGAAGGTGGCAACATAGACCCAGTGTCTCATGCCACTTTGAATTCTATCCCAAACACGGTGGAATTGATATATGAAAACATATTTCAGAAGAAGAAGAAACATCAAACGGTACTCCGTCTATGCGCTATTTTGCATTATGTATTTTCTCGATAATTATGATTTATTAACATTGGAAGTAAAATTTACCAATGAAAGAGAGAAAAAATAAAACCTCCAATGACCATGATTCGTAATGTAAAGTAAGGCTTTGTTTCGTTTTCTGTTGCCGCTACAATTTTGTTTCGATTAATTTTAAATTACAACGGTTTTTATTGTTGTTGTGATCGTTACGGGTTACTTTTAAATTCTACATTAACGCCGATTGTGTTTGTGTGTGCGAGCAACGAATAATATCAGCTGTTGCCATCAAAGGCAAAAATCAAACGGCAATGGACTCTGTGAACAGATCGACAAACAAGTAATTAGAGTTGGGCAATCTAGTTCACTTAGCGGATCGATCTTTCTCGTTCCATTTTCAAAAAGGAACTAGTTCCTTAATGTAGTTCCTTTGCTCCATATAGTTCCTTTGCTCCACACAGTTCCTTTGCTCCATATAGTTCCGACTCCTACATAGTCAAAGGAACTATATAGTTTTTTTCCATATAGTTCCTTTGATCCATATAGTACCTCTGCTCCATATAATTCCCGTACTCCATACAGCTCCTTTGCTCCATATAGTTCCGACTCCTACATAGTTCTTTTGAATCTCCCTTTCATCGTTCTTTTTTTTCGTTTTTTCCATATATAGTTCCTTTGATCCATATAGTTCCTTTACTCAATACAATTCCTTTGCTCTTTATAATTCCTTTGTTCAATATAGTTCCTTTGCTCCATATAGTTCCTTTGTTCTTTATAATTCCTTTGCTCCATATAGTTCCTTTGTTCTTTATAATTCCTTTGCTCCATATAGTTTCGTTGCTCTTTATAGTTCCGTTGCTCTTTATAGTTCCTTTGCTCCTATAGTTCATCCCTCTCATAGTTCCTTTGAATCTCTCTCTTTCATC